GGAGTATAAAATTTGGGGGTGATTTCGAGGTGTCGGGTAAGAAAAATATTTGTAATTTTGTAATTGTGGTTGTAACAATTTGCCGCATAGTGAATATTTTTCTTGGTTGTCGTTTGGCAACGGCCGTGGTTTTTCTCCACTTAGGGAGTTTTCTACGTTAAATTATCGTGTTCTCTTTAATTTCTCAGTCATTATTTTATTTTCTCATTTATTCCTGCTTAAAGCTGATCCGAAGGGCGGGAACAATAGCGATTTTCCCAACAACTTCCTCAACTTAAGAAACCACCTTGTGTTAATTTAACTTATTGGATCAAAACAGAGTTGAGCAGTTTGTAGACTTGAGGCATCTATATGATAAGATGAAGGTAGACTTGGATTCTTGTAGGAGTACGACTTCAAATTTGGATCATGAACCTCAATTGCCTCTAAATCTTGTTTAATCCACAAACTTAAGCTCTTAAGCCCGTGACTGGAAATTTCACTTGTTTTAGAACAACGTTGAGATTCTACGTGCAAGGTTTCAAGAAAATGGAATTTAGCAAAAGGGGTTGAATCCATCGTTCACGGATTTCAGGAGCACTTACTCTCAACTGTTTTAAATGTGTACAAGCAAGTGAATTCAAGTCCAAATTACGAGTATAATTATAACTCAGGCTACTGTAATGCAGATCCTGAAGATTTGATGCTTGAATAGCAAAATCTCTGTTTGAGTTAGAAATTAGCTTAACAGTTGCTAATTTTTGCGGGTTTGGAACAGAAAATTCCTCATAAAATCCTTGACAGAATCTCATATCAAGTTGCTCGAGCGAAGGGCTAGAAGATAGTAGCTTTTCTGCTGCCAATTTACTAATATAAACACTTAATAGCGACATCTTTTGCAAGCAAGGAAACTTGAAATCACCATTAAAATTTGGTTTCTCAAACAATTGAAAACCTTCTATCTTCAATATGGATAATGATTTGGCAATAAAGATTGTTTCAGGTAAAACATACCCTGGTGGGGTGGTGGAACTATTACTGGCAACAATGTCTAAATGCTTGATGTAGTTCTTCGCGAGCAATCTCATCCATTGATTTATGTGGGAACCCATATTTGTTTTTGAATCAAAAACAGTGTGCAGATGCAAAATCAAAGTTTCAATTTTGATTGTTTCTGGAGTGCTTTTGAGTTTTTCCGATGATTCATCAACGAATTTTATAAATTTTTCTACTTTTTTCTCTGGTAGCCAAATATTGTCACAAAATCGTCTCTTGAAACGTAAATATTTGAATTTGAAACTCTGTGTTGGAAGCGACTTCCACAATCGCCGCCATGTGTTCGATAAAATGCTTAAAACCATTTTTTATATAAATTGTAATTATATTATTAAAACCATTTTTAGAAAATATATGACAATAATATTACAATAAAAAATATTCTATTTATTTTTATAATTATATTTATTTACTTATATAGTCAATAAAACTTTATGATTTTGAAGTCACCATTTCATTTAGCAGTGAAATCTTTATTGAGCTAATTACTTATCTAATAATTTATTTAGTCAAATGATTATTATTTCTCATATTATTGATTTTTTCTAAAAGTAAAAAAAAAACACTTTATTGAAAATAAAAAGAAGAAATACAATTGGAAAAGATTATTGATTATTGGTTATTATATCTTTACATTTATGTTTTTGCATTCAATTAATTAATTAATTGCAATATATATGAAGTGGAGGGCAATTAAAAAATTATGTCATATGTCATTTCTTGAAATAACAGCCAAATTGCCAAGTGAAATCCATAACGAAATATCAAGCCACGTGTTAATTTCTCGAGAAAAAGTTTTTGTTTCATATCTATAATCTATAATCTGTCTATACTATATATAAATGTGGAAATAAGAGAAGAAATAGAAGGAAACAATAAATTTTTGACAGCGTCTTTGATAAGACTTTGAATATTCTAAAATAACCTTAGGTATCACCAATTAGAAAATTATATTTTATTATTTAATTAGATATAAGTTTGAAAATTATTTTTAAATAAATATATATAGATAATTAAGTATATATAGATAATTAAGAATTTAAAAATTTTAAGTTTTATTTTTTAAGAAACATACATGATAATGAGACATTTGAAAATATTTTATATTTTATTTTCAAATATTTGATTTTATTTTGATTATAATTTAAAATATTTATTTAGAAGAGAGCTAAAAAAAAAAGAAAAAATATATTATTTTTTATGTTTGTATGTTTCAAATAGGATATGCATAATATTTTACTTAAGAGAGATAAAAAAAATATACTCTTCTTTTTTCTTATGGTTGTAGAAAATTGAGGATTTATTTGGAGAGGATAGCATGTTTGTTTTATGAATATTTTTTTATTAATTAATTAATTTATTTATTTATTTATTTTACATGTGCAACTTAGAAAAATAGAAAAATAAAATTAGATCATAACATGATTTGCTTTTTAATTTTCATTTATTGACTTAGGTATAGTTTTTTTTTTGTCCATTAATATCAAATTTTATTAAATTAAGGTCTTCCTAGTTAAAGAAGTGGTTAATTTTTAAAATTCAAAATTGATATTTTTTAATATAATTTTATTTCTTGTTATATGTTAAATTTTGAAAAGAGTACTATTTTTGATAATGATTTTTTTACTTTTTACTTTTTTTTCCGTTACTGAATTAATTTATGACTACTATCACTCTAGTCTAATAAGATATTTATGTCTCCCTTATAATAAATAAATGGCCTCTTAATAATTAAACATTTTCAATTTTCTTGATATTTTTTCTATCGTATTCTAAATGTATTTAACTTGAAAAAAAATAGTATTTTATGAAACTAAAAAGCGTGCAAGGGCAGTCATAAAAATTATCTTAGTTATGACCAATTAGAATATCCTAAAATAATGAAATTTAAATATCCGATAGTACCCTTAGTGAAATTTAAATATTTTAAAATAATTTTAGTCATAAACAATTAGAAAATAATTTTTAAAATTTTTGATTAATGAAACAGTTTCTTGAACTTCTTCAATATGCCCACGTATAAAAAAAATTATGCGCGTATTAACAATGTCTAAATACAAAATATGATAGACAAGAATTTTTCTTAAAACTGGTATATTTCTAAATGATTTTGTGACCATATTATACATCTATATATAAAACTTTATCCAAATTCGCGCTCATATGAGTCACATGCGTACATTATTAACTCTACTATATTAAACAATTATGTAAAAATATAAATAAATATGTGCGTTATAATTAAAAGTATAGCACATATTGTGTGATACAGAAAGAGAATAGACATCCAATTTTGCTTTAAAAACATAAAGACATTAAATGCATAATCCTCTCTTCAAAAAAAAAAAAAAAAAAAAAAAAAAAAATGCATAATCCATATTTTATCTGTCATTGTCTCATTTAATGCATCTGACAGAATTAAATTAAGGATATTATAATCTTTTTCCTTTGTACATATGAACTTGCTTTTGCCCTCTTTCGTATTCACTATTCTTTTCCTTTTTCTTGCTTCTTACAGAGATAATTCAAACTGGAAGCTCTAAACATTAGAAAGAAGGGTTTGGGGATTTCCAAGGCTGCAAAAGACAAAGTGATGGCGCCTCTCTATTCACAAAACAGCAATAATATTAGTCCCCAATTTGTTAAAAGAAGCGAAGGGCCAGTGAGGCCTCATTATTTGAAACTGCTCAATTTGTCTTCTTCAAAAGTCACCAAAACAGCTTTCATTTCCAATCGGACAATAAAGAAAATGTGGTCCATAACGAGCACCACCGCCACAAATTGGCGGAAAGTCTCCACTAAATTACTCTTTCTTTTAATATTCCGTTCCACTAAATTTGTTGTTTTAATCTTTTAAATAATAATTATTTTTTTCAATTTTATTCTTATTTTTTATTTCGTCTGTCAGTTTCAAAATATAATAAAATTATTATATTAAGAAAACAATTAATTTTCTTAATTTTATAATATTTATTACTCTTAAAATACTTAAAAGGAAACTATTTAAAATGGTTTATAATTTCAAACAAAATAATTATAAAAAATAATTTATATTTTGAAACAGAATATTATCTCCATTAAATAAGCATAATTATCTATAAATTACTTCATCTGTCCCAAAAAAAAAGTCCATCTTTGCTCTTTCCTTTTTAATCTGTCCCAAAATAGTCTACTTTCCTAATCTCCATTGAAATAAGCATAATTATATATAAATTTCTCCCTCCGTTTAAAAAAAAAGAAAATGATCGATCTTTCCTTTTCTTTTTGATTTACCTCAAAATATAGTCCACTTTTCTTTTTGATTTGCCTCAAAATATAGTCCACTTTCCTTTTTAGTTTGTCTCAAAATATAATACACTTTCCTTTTTTACATTGTAGTTTCCTTTTTTCCACTATAATTACTACAATTTTTTGGTTTATCTCAAAATATAATACACTTTCCTTTCTTACATTGTAGTTTCCTTTTTGCCACTGTAATTAATCCTTGAATTGCTTACTATAACTTTATTAAAATACCTTATTTTCAATAATCCTCATTCATTATTAATTATTTTATTAATTATTAATTATTAATTCAATATTCATATGTTATTTAAAATGAACATAATTAAAAAGCTATATGAAAAGTTATATGAATTAAGTTAAAAGAAGTTATATGAATTAAATTATCTTTTAATAATATTTCTTTCACATGTGAAAATATAAAATGTAAAAATAAAAAATAACTATCTTTTTGGAACGGAAGTAATAATAAAAACAATTTAATCAAATTAACTTTTTTTTTCCTTAAATAGAATCAATTCTTAAAAAATGAAAATACTAATCCCATTATTAATTCTCCAAATAATTAATGCTTCTCCAGTGAAAATACCAAAACATAAAAATAAAGATAGGAGAAAATAATTAATACTTAATTATCTAAAATTTGTAATATGACAGAAGAAGAAATTTGAGAAGGAAAAAGATAAGGCTGAAATCCTTCCAATCCACTTCAAATTTAAGCTCTGCACATTCCATTCACCAAACAAAGTTCATACTCATAAATTAGCAGAAATGAAAGAAGATATTCATACCACAAAGCAACCTTCTGTGAGCCCAAAATGAATTCATATCTACTCCATTAAGAGAGGACTAATGCAAGTACACCAAAATACCAAATTCAAGCAAAATTAAGTTCCTCATATTATATAATCCTCTGCTTGACTCAAAAGGGTGACATAATTACTCAGAAACTAGAGAATGATGCAATTACAAGGCCAATTGCTAGAGAGCCAACTGAGATTGACAATCCGCGAGAACCTGCATTCCCTGGAGATGGTGCTGGTGCTGACACAGTTGCTCCGGCGGTCACAGTTGGGGCAGCAGCACCACTAACAGATGGTGAAAGAGCACCTATGAAAGCAATTAACCAATTTGTAGAAAGTAATTAACTTGATAAAGTGAATTGGCCATTCGAAAATGCAAAATTGCTTGCATACAGCATACACACACAAGCAACCAAAAAAAAGAATTTGAAAAGGACTAAAAAAGATCAAGAGAACTATAGTTTATTGGTAATCCACCAAGAAATAACACAAAGGTGAATGTAAAGAAAAATAAAGTCTACCAATCGGAAATTAAAGATAGATTCTTTAAAAATTGTACCTAGTTTATTTTTTGTTTTCCTACTCTGGTTTCAATTAAAAAAAATGTTTTCATTGCTTTGGCATAGACCCAGTCTAGATGAGTTTTTCTTTTCTCTCAATCAAGCAATGTGAACTGGGAAAACCTGGCATTCCCTTCTTCAAATCATTAAAGTGATATAGAGTCAAATGATACATTCAACAATATTAGCCAAAAAAATATCCACTAAATCATCATATATAGTAATCAAATGATATAGTCAAACAAAATATGTAATACAAGCCATTTTGACCATGCAGCTAGCTCAGAAATCAATTTCATAACTCATTATGACAGATCAAATTACCACATTTGGTACCTCCATTATTTGAAATATGTCTACATAAAGGAAATTAGTCAGCATTTTATTTTGATATTTTTTATAGAAATTTCAAACAATATAAATGAAAAGTCCAAAACACCCTTCTGGACTTTTCTCTGTCTCACAATTTGAATTACTTTTGATTTCATATTTTCACCCACAATTACCTGACAAACCAAAACATAAAACATAGACTCTAGCTGATTTTAGGAAATCCTTTTATGATGCTCATAGAATATTTGAAACTTATTAGAAGGAAAATAAAGAACAAAAAGATAATGGAAAGGATTTCCAGAAGGTGACACCAAGCTGACTGTAGAGAAAAAATAAATTTTGGAAAAAAAAAAAACAGAGAAAGAAAAACATCATCTGGCCTCTATGCATGTAGATTGCAAGCAAAAACAATTGGAAAAAAAAAACTCCAGGAAATCATGGATTTGAAACAATTTAAAAAAAAAAATTTAGTATCATCAGTAAAGATTAGGGATCAGAACATACCAGGAGCAGCAGCAGGAGCCAAAGCCACTGCAACAACAGAACACCCAACAAAATCAATTAAATCCCTAAAAACCCACAAAAGAAACAGCACAAAATGCAAAATGCACAGAAAATGCACGAAAATCAGACAACTAACATCCACAATTAGAAGCAGGAGGGGCTTGGAGTTTGCAGACAGTAGGAAGACTTAAAGCCTTAGTGACATTCAAAACGACACCCAATTGAGCGCTGCTCTTAAAAGCCTCACAAAGACACTCTGCATCTGTTTGCAAGACCGTTTTCAACCCAGAGCAGCACGTTTTTTCTGGTTTTGTTGTCGTACTGCCGTTTGAAACAAAAGACAAGCAATCCGCCATGTTCAACACTAAACTTGAGCAGTCCACAGACGGTGCCGGAGCTGTATGGTGGTGGCCGGCACCATTAGCGCCCGAGATGGAAAGAATTGAAACAATGCAGAGAATCACAGAGAGCTTCACTGCCATTTTTGGAGTGTGAGTAAGAGCTATTGTTGACAAGTGAAGTGGGTTTGGTGTAGAGAGAAAGATAAATAAGAGAAGTGCGTGGAGAGAGAGAGAGAGAGGGCCATGTGGAAAAGCAAGTTCAGTGCAATAGAGAGGGGTGGTATACGTGGCAAACATGGCAGGTTACAGATTTTAATGAGTTGTATATTGAGGAGATTTTTGTTTTTTACCTTTTTCCTTTCGTTTTTTAGAATTCTTCGATCGCATATTTATTTATTTATTTATTTATTTCCAAATGTATTCAAATATTAATAATTTACAGAAAAATTTCTATTTTAGATATTCTTTTTTTCAGAAAATTTTATCTAATTTAAGAACTTTGCATTTCATACCGATATTAAAAATCTATTTTACCCTTATTTTAATTCTTTGTAAAGCTTTTACTACGAGAGATTGTCAAGATAGTGGCAAATAAAACTATAGATGAATATTTAATGCGAATAAATTTTGAACAATTGGTTTTTTACATCTATTTTTGCTGATTAAAATAGAGTTTGAATAGAAAAAGGCCATAAAGTTTTTAGGTTGACCATAATGAAAAGAATTTCTACGGACTTTGCTCGAATGTTTGAAAAATGATATGATATTTAAAGTATATCTTTAATAACCAAAGGTAATTGAAAAGTTAAATGAACATAAATTTTCACATTTCTATACAACTTTTCTAAACAAAGAACCAAAAAATGATTTTTCCTCCACAACTTAGAGCATAAATTTTATTTTTTTTTTTAACCGTCTTTATTATCTTCATTTCAACAAAATATTTAAAGCCTTATTGAAAATTGAAACATAATTTAAAGTATACATTGATATTGGAGAATAAATAAATGAGATATTAGGGGTAAATTAGAAAAAGAAGGCCAAAAAATTTGATTAAACTAATTTCTTAATCTTGGTGAAAAATTAGTTGTTTCTATATAAAAAGAATGAAGGGAGTATATTAAACATAAAGTTGTGAAATTAATTAATATCGATAATTATTTTTTTATTTTAAGATTTGATTAAATTGAAATAAATTTTAAAAGTAGAAAGATTACTTTTTTTAAAATAAAACAATTTTAAAAAATTAAAAAGAAAAATAATTTTATTACTCGCTCCATTCCGCTTAATAACAACAAATATATATTTTATTTTATTTCACTTTGGTTGTTTATTTAGAATTTTAATAGTGTATTAATAAATTATTTTTTAATTTTACTGTATTTATTAAGTTTTAATTTATTTTTATATTTACATTTATTTTTCTCTTTTTTATCATTGTTTTAATTGTAGTTAAATTAAAATTTTGATTGCACACATACTAAAAAATTTTAATTATATCAAGGCATAAAAAAAAGAAATTAAGTATTACTTTAATGGTGGTGCTTTAATGTTAGATAAAATTAGAATTGGTTTTATAGTAAAATTAAATAAAGATTTTTAATTTTAAGAAGAGCAATTTAAACATTCTACTCTATAGTTTTAAAAAATTAATCTATTCTGATCTTTTTTTTTAATTCTTGTAAAAATATGAAACGTTACTGTTAAAGTAGAACGAAGGTAGTCACAAGATTGAGGGAATAAATTTTTTTAAAAATTTTTCTCCTATTAAAATAATTTTATTTTCCTTCTTACTTATTTTAATATTATAGTTTTATTTTTTTAGGTAGACAATTTTAATAATTTATATCCTAACCATGCATCTTAATCAATAAATATAATACTTCATTTATTCAGTTGTTTAAGTTTTTGATATAGTAATTAAGGAAGCAATTAAATTACCTAAATTGTAATCCATATTCTTTTTAGGGAAAATAATTATTTCATCTCTGAAGTTTTACAAAATTAATTAACTCATTCTCGTATTTTTATATATTAGATATTTAGACTTTAAGGTTTGGTACCATCTCATTAACTGGTTCTTTCGTTTAATTTTAGTGGTTTTTGTTGTCAGATGCCTAGTGAAAGACTAATATACCCTTATGATAAGACAAAATTAAAATCAGTATCACCGTTCTTCTCTTTCGTCTCCTTCATCTCTATTTCTACAACCGTGCAAAGTCAAAAAATAAATAAATAAATCGAAGCTTGTCTATGAGATCATGATGGCCGGTGTCATTGATTGAAGGTCTGAATTTGATGGAGGAGGAGGAGAAGGAGAATGAAGCAAGTCGGGTCGGGTCCTTTGAGTCACCCGCAACTTTCTTATCAAAATCCCTCAAATTTTCACTTTTCACAAATCTCTCTACACTTCAATTCATTTGGGGAGGCTCCACTCTAAGCTCGTTTAGCACGGATCCGGGGTGCCATTGATTGATGTTCTTTGTGTTTTGTGGCATGTGTTTGTTTTTGGGTGTTCTTAAGATTTGTGCCAATGAATGGTTTGGATCTGCCCTTAATAGAGCTGCCTTTGATCAAGTTAGTTCATATGTCCCATTTTCGTTGCATGCATTTATATTGTAGATACTTTTTGAGTGATGGAGTTTTTATCAAAGATAATTTGTTAAATACCTTAGTTGATGAATTTCTATGACAAATTGCCATTTTGATGGTATTTTCACCGTTTTAGTGTAGTTGCGTGTACTTGGATGAGGAAATTGTTTTTAATCAATGTCAGATTATGACCAATAGAGAGAACCTTGAGGCAAGAAATTGTTTCCACTACCATGATTGTTGTGAAATTGTTGATGAAAGAGGCAAAATTTTCTGCGTTTTGCTATTAAGAGATGTAGCTTTGCAGAAAATGGTGGTTGTTGGTGATTGGTGGGTTGGACATGAGTCATCTCAGGTTTTATTAAAAGCACCGTTTGTCATTTTAAAGTGTCTTTCACTCCTCTCTCTTATTTTTTACTCTTATTTAACAGAAAAATAATAAATTTTTATGGAAGGACCAGTTAATGAAACGAATCAAATTTTAAGGACTAAATATCTAATATAAAAAAAATACAAGGATGAGTTAATTAATTTTATAAAACCTCTAGGATGAAATCATTATTTTCCTTTTTTTATCAACAATTCATATTTTATTTTATAAACTTATCAAACACAAGATACTAAACCCGACAGCAAGTTCTCCCTCTCTATACGCCAATGTGGCTATCAACCAAAACAAATATAGATTTCTCCTTTGGAGATAAGAAGAGATAAGCTACAAAACAACCTTACAAATATAAAAAAAGTATCACCCTTACTTATTACAACCAAGCTACAAAATACCATGGCCTCAACACTTTTTTTCGCTAGAAAATCAAGCTAAAATTATTCCATATATCTCATAATAATAAGCACATTTTCCTTTTTCACTTGTCTCAAATTATCATTTAATTTTTCTTTTAAAAAGATAGTAAATTTGATATTTTTTATTATTCACTTATTTAATATTCCCTCCGTTTTATTTAAATAGCCAATTCTTAAGGTTTTTCTTATTCCACTTGACGCCGGCAACAACTTTTGAACTAACTCTTAGTGTGTTGACTAAGTCAAAAATATATCTATATTAATTGTAGTATTTCGTAACTTAATTTTTATAATACTTCGTCTGTTCTATTTATATAGAGAAAGTAAAAATTCCTCTATGATTAAGAAGGTGATCGTTTTATGGATTTTTTTTCTAAATCTTCCTGAAAAGATAATTAAGTCGTCCACAAATTTCAATAAAAAAAAATGGTAGTAAATGATGAGAGAGAGGATGAGTTATTTAAATGAGGAGTTTTATTTGCTTAAACACTTCCAGCAAAATAAAAAAGTGAGCTCCGCTGCTCAATATGTTCACTAATTCTTAATTTATGTTGCACATATTTTTAATATATATGTATTGTCATGGAAAAAATGTCAACATATTTTTACTACCAGTGTGGAAGTAACTATTTTATTTGTTTGCAATATTTTAAATTGTTTATAAGGTAAAGTTGTTTTTGAGAATCAAATTGTAAGTGTACATAGGTATAAGTAAATATAAATGGGCACAACAATTTTGATTTAAGCATTGTCATTTGGAGAAAAATTTATCTTCGTTCGATTTATTAGAGTTGTGTGTAAATCTCACTATACGCGTATGCATACTTAATTATTAAGCATAAATAGAAATTGTATATATAATTCAAACTATGCTTGCAACTCCACAAATTTAATCTATGCGCATAATGTGAAAAAGGTTCTCATCTTCTTGTTACACGGTTCAGTCTGTTTTTGAAAATTAATTGTCCAACCACAATAATATCTACCACTTTCATAAAATTTTTCCAAAGTCAATGTTCAAATTATGAACCAAAACAAGGGCATATTGGACTTTTTGCTTTGGCATTAGTTCCAAAGTTACCATTTTAAGTAATTTTCTCTATATAAATATAAGGGAGTAGCTTTTGAAAATTGAGTGAGCTTTTTATGACAATTTGAAAACTGTAATATTTAGCTTTTAGTGTTCAACGTTTAACTTTTAATTAAATTTTTTGACAATCATACCCATTGTTTTTTCCTTCTAATTCAACTAAGTAAACATTAATGTCCTTATTTGTCATTTTAAATTAAATAGCTAACTAAATAGTTATTTTTATAGAATATTTCAAATTTAAACCGCTATATAAATACTTACTAGCTAAAAGCTAATAGGAAACAGCTAATAAAATAGTTAATATTGTTGAACAGATCCTAAGTGTTATTCTTAGTGTTGATACTAATATTTAAAAATTAATATTATTAATAAAATTATCTTTAAATTAGCTTCATAATCCCTTAATAATCTAGAAAATCTCCTAAAATCTCCCTTTAAGAGTTAGTAAATAAATATAGTGGAGAAAATCTCTCCACTATCCTATCTCAAACTCAAATAAGTTATCCTCTACTGCTATATAAAGAGGACTAGGAAAAAAAAAAAAAGAAGAGATGAAGTATACAACATTAGTTCTCTCTCCTTAATTTTAAATACTCTTTAGAAATACTCTTAAAAGTATAATCTTATTTTTTGAGTTCATCAAATAGTGCGGTGAGCGTGGAACACACCTTCCATGATTACTTAAACTTATTGATAATATCAGTAAAAAATATTAATAATATCTACTATCAACCACCATATCCCCC